CGATAGCATTGTAGCTACTCGCGCATGCGCAGTAGCTACAAAAACAAAAACTTTTTTACTTTTTCGCGCATGCGCAGACAAAAGTCTCCCTTGCTATTGGGGCTATTGGGGCGCGAAAGTCGGCGCGACGTAGCATTTTGCTGGTCAGCGGTGCACCTTAACATTAGGTCGGCTTTCAGTTGTTTTCTCCCGAGTCTTATTTGCTCAGTCATAACAAAATAATTTTTACATTGTATGTGCTCAATAAATTATACACATCTCATGCTTTGAATCAATATAAAATTATGATCCTTGTTAGTAATAATATTGCATCATCCCTTCCTCACAACATTGCATGTGTTTATCTTCTGCAAGATTCTTACTTGACTTTTAACCACTTTATTACAAGACATTGTAGCACCTGATGGCAATACATATATAAAAAACATGTTTATCTTTTTTCCTTAATGGAAATTGGCTTGCAACTACAAGTGGGTTTGTTTACGCCACTGTGTCTCTGAATTGGCTCATGTGCCTTTTACAAACCATTCGAAAAATTTGACATTCGACACAAAAGCAATTGTATTGAAGAACAGATACATTTCTTTCAAATAAGTATTTATTGCATTTAGTTCACTACTTAGGTAGGTTAAGTCTGAANCCATTCGAAAAATTTGACATTCGACACAAAAGCAATTGTATTGAAGAACAGATACATTTCTTTCAAATAAGTATTTATTGCATTTAGTTCACTACTTAGGTAGGTTAAGTCTGAATACGAGCTAAGAGGTCAATCAGGCTGGAGCTTAGCCCGGTTTCTGTAGCATTAAGCCACTGGGAGTATTTCTACTCTCACTTGAATGGGATGCTAATCCACTGCAGGGTTACCACCAGCATTAAATTTGCCGGTACCCATTTATACACCTTGTATTATCGTATGTTAGGACTGGGCTCTAGGCCCATTGCATGCTGAGCCAACGCAGGCCCGATCACCGTTGTCGTTGTAGTTTCGTAGCTAGTATGGCAACCGTAGTCTACTAAATTGGCGACGAGGAACAACCAACAATGCCAGACGAAGCCGACACTAGTCAGAAAGGAAAGTCAGGAGTTCTTGCCAGCGTACGAGCAAGCGTGGGCGCCTTTNAACAACCAACAATGCCAGACGAAGCCGACACTAGTCAGAAAGGAAAGTCAGGAGTTCTTGCCAGCGTACGAGCAAGCGTGGGCGCTTTCAGTTTGAGTGATGAACCAGGGCAATGCGAGAAAACATGGAAGTTCTTGAAAGACCGCTTCGAACGAGCCACTCGATGGATGGCAGTCAATGTTACCGACAAGCTAGACTTACTGTTATTAGTAGGAGGAGAAGAGCTCCAGAAGCTACTCCAAACACTGCCCGAACAGCCCACAGATTACAAATCGCACATCGAGCTGCTGGACCAACACTTCAAGGCGAATCGCAACAACACTTTGGAGTTGTACAAGTGGTTCAACACGGAATGGTCACCCGACATGTACTTCGCTGACTTCAAGACGAAATGCAGAGAGCAAGCGCCTCACTGCGACTTCCCCATCACACTGGACAACGCAATCATCATGATGACTGTGGTCAAAACCAGCGACGTCGAGCTTCGGAATGAAATCATTCGGAAAAATGGAGACTTGAAATCGGTAAGAGAAACGCCTTGCCAACAAGTATACATGCCCAGCTACTGGAAGGAGATGCCTCAAGTATGGGCGCCCGAATCACTTTGCCCGCATGTACAAGGGTGCAGCCAACGACAGGAAAGACAAGCGAGCCAACGCAGTGGAGTGTGAGCAGCAGACCAATACACACCGTGGGTCTCAAGAAAAGGAGTATTTAGAAGATGTGTACTTGTACCAGCTGTAGGAAGGAAAATCACAGAATCCAACTGTCGCCATTCACGTC